TTTTTTCGGTTTTTCGAGACAGGGTTTCTCTGTGTAGCTTTGCGCCTTTCCTGGAACTCACTTGGTAGCCCAGGCTGGCCTCGAACTCACAGAGATCCGCTTGGCTCTGCCTCCCGAGTGCTAGGATTAAAGGCGTGCGCCACCACCGCCCGGCTAATTTTTTTTTTTTTTAAACTGGTGTTTTTGGCCTCTTTTCCAGTAATTACTTCCCACAAACGTACGCGTACACTGCACGGACTATTCACAAAATTCTTTCACACCTAGGTGTGCGTCCACAGCAAAGGACAATTCCATCTCTGCAGTAGCGCACCCCAGTCTTTCCACCCTCTGTGCTTCTTCATAAATCTGCAGCCCGTACGACTGATTCACCTCAGATTCCGGAGCGCTGGCGTTTTGTTTCGTCCCCCAGGCCTGCGGTAAATAATCAACGAAGAGAACCTGGCGAGGTGGCAGATGCTGGAGGGAGGACGGCGACGCGGCTTTGGAACGCACAGAGCGGATCTCTCTCCGCGCGGTGCTCCTCCCCGGGCGGCTCGGGTAGAAACGGGGGTCACAGACTCCCTGTGACCGCGGGGTACGCTCTCTCCAGCCGCAAACGCAGCGCTCCTCAGCAGCTCAGCTCCGCTTGCCACCGGGGGCGTCTGCCGGGTCCACGCTGAGGCCGGAGGCCGTTGAAATGACTCCACCCCCGTCCAAGAAAGGACTGTGATTGGTCCGCAGCCATCCCGGAGAGGCGCGCGCACGCCTATTGGCCAGCGCTCCGAGCCCTGCGCCCGCTCACGGGGCGTTCAAATTGGTGCGCGCGCACCGGGACCCGGCGTCCCCAGTCCCGGCTCTTTGGGTGCTTGCAAGTCCGCTGTGAGCTGGGAAGGCCGGGAAGTCACTTAACAGGAGAGAAAACGAGAGCAACTGAACATACTTAATCCGGAGAAATGACTGCTGAGTGGCTGCTTTTATTTCTTTGCTTTGGTTCTTTGAGACGGGGTCTTGCAATGCAGCTCTGCTTAGCTTGGAAGTTGCTATGTAGCTCAGGCTAGCCTGGAACTCCTGGCACTCAGCCTCCTAAGTGTCTCAGTCTCCCAAGTGCTGGAATTAGGCGCGCACCACATCACCCAGGCTTTAAGTAATGTCAGGGGAAATTACTACTTCATCTAAGACCAGTAGTTGAAAGATAAAAGCTGAACATGGTGGCGTAGGCATACTAAGATAAAAGGATCGAGAATTTGAGACCAGCCAAAGTTATATAAATTTCCTCCAACTGGGAAAAGAAAACTATTTTTTTTAACTTATAATTTTGCTGGACAAAGCATTCTACCAGGACTCCGAAGAATAAAGCAGATAGAGTAGGAGTTCTTCACCATTGTAAGTGTTCAACTACAAGCTAAACAAGTTAGGGGTAGTGCAAAAGAGATCCTTTGCACTACGTGGGCGATTAGTAGGATGACTGCCCTCTCCTCTCCCCTTCACTGTACTGAAAATTAAACCCAGGTCTTCCTACATACTGTGCCAGCTTTTGATCCCCGAGTCACACACCAGCCCTGAAATCAATGACATTTTTTTAAGTTGGAAAAAATGTTTTAATATTTTATGTGCATTGATGTTTGGCCTCTATGTGTCTCTGTGTGAGGGTGTTAGATCCCCTGAAACAGGAGTTACAGACAGTTGTGAGCTGCCACGTGGGTGCTGGGAATTGAACCAGGGTCCTCAGAAGTGGACGATCCTCTGGAAGAGCAGTCAATACTCTTAACTGCTGAACCATCTCTCTAGCCCCAATAAATGACTTTTAAGTGCTCTTCCAACTTTAGAAAGGTAACAGGGACAATGGGGGGTCCTGCCCCTCGATATCTTCTCCCAGGGTCTGGGAAGAATCTACAACCAGCTGATAATCTAATTTTTAACGATATGAAATGAATCTCCTTAGTCCATACACTTTATTCTTCTGAGTCAGTGTTCTCTATATACAGCTTCTAGTCTGTTCTCATGCCTAGCTCCTTTCTTCCCTGATTTCTCTCTACTGTCCCCTCTAAGTTCTATCTTAATTCTCTCAACTTAGTTCCGCCCCATCTAGGTTCTCATCCATCTAGTTCTTTCCCATCTTAGCTCCTCTCCCGTCTCCTTCTTCCTCATCTTGTTCTTCCCCATCTGGCTCTTCCTCATCTTCCATCTCGTTCCTCTAGTACTCTCTTCTAGCCCTTCAATCTAGTTCTTTCCCATCTCAGTTCGTTCCTCTCCAGTTCTTACCCATCTAGTTCTTCCATTCTCTTTTATCTTCTCTGTCTTGTCTCCCAAGACTGAGGTTTCCAGTTATACACCCATGCAATAGCAATGCTCTGGTGAAAGCAAGGTCACCAGGCTTGAATGCCCTCAGGGTCAAAAGGAGGGACAATAAGATCCACACAAAAGAGCAGTAATTGCCAGCCATCATCTGAAACCCAAAAGGGAAGTAACTAAGGGGGGATTAGAATCAACTGAGAGCTAAATTCAGTTAAATCAGTGACGAGTGAAAACAAACTGCCTTCTTTTCCTTTGGCCCCTTATCTGTCCAAGCTATCTTGGCTACTGCTTTCTGGCAGGGCCGGGGAGTGTACTCGGTGGCTGGGTAGCCTGAGTCAGCTTGATGTACCTTTAAGTAGAAACCCTTTAGTTCTGACTTAATAGTTAAAGGTAGATCTAAAACTAGAGATAAGACTTTGGAAAGGTTAAGCTTAATTAGCACATCTGCCAGGCCTTCTCAAACAAATAGTCTGGATGCTTAAGTCTGTCCTTAGAGAGTACAGAGGTATCTCTGATGAGATACTTTCGTCCATCCAGGGGTGGTCCTGGCCAAATGCTGCTAATGACAATAGTGACAGAAAGGCCTGAAATTAGGGATCCTGGCTATGTTACTGCACAGAAGGTTATCTAATATTTCATTAGTAGAGGGAAAATTGTGCCTGGTGAAGGATGGAAAAGCTACAACAGCACACAAGAAGCTCATAGCAGGAAATGGCTAATAATCAAAAGCCAAATATCACCAAGGCTCCTTGAGCCTCAGCTTGACCTCTGGAAGGCCCTTGGCTTCTTCCAGGTATTAGCTTGTCATAATCAGCTGAAATCCTACTGCATATACTTTTGCGGCTTGCAGCAGAAAGGTGGTATTTTCTGAACAAGGAATTACATGCTGATAGCCAAGTTAGTTATGTCAAGTTATGGCTTCTAGCCGTAACTACACAGCTGGGAGTGTGGGACGGCATCTCAAGACCTGAGGCTCTGCAGAGCTGGGATTCGGCTTAGACCTTGGGAACCCTGGGAGGTAGGGCCCCAAATCAACTGACCAACCATCCTTCCTCTTAACTTTCTCTGTTCCTAGGTAATTGTGCAGCTTCAGAGCACAATTCAGGCATAGGAATAGAAACCAGTCTCTTTCTGAACTCCTAAGCCAATATAATCTTGGCTGCTAAAGTGATTTCTGCATTTAGTCCAAACTGATGTTAAGCAGCAACTGATTCCTCACGAAGGTTGCATGGTGTGTTTTGTCTGGTGGGACCCTCAAATTCACCAGGACTCTGACCTTGATTGTCCTCTGGGCTTCCCCCACTTTAGTTGTAGGACTGAACCAGTGAGTAGCTAATGAGTTATGCAAGTTATTATAAAATTATGAACTATAAAGGATCACATGCTGTGGGATGGTCTTTCTGTACACTGTGAATATATGTTGCTACCATTGGTTAATAAAGAAGCTGCTTTGGCCTATGGCAAGACAGGAGACAGCAGGGGGGTGGGGAATCCAAGAGAGATACAGGGAGAAAAAAGGTGGGGTCAGAGGAGCTGCTGGAGCTGCTGCCTGAGAATCAGGATGTAATGGACCGATTAAAGCCACGAGACACGTGATGATACATAGATTAATAGAAATGGGTTAATTTAAGATGAATGAGCTAGTTAGTAATAAGCCTGGGCCATAGACCAAACAGCTTGTAATTAATAGAAGCCTCTATGTGCTTATTTGGGATCGAACAGCTGCGGGACACAGAAAAGTTTCCTGCTACAATCACGCAATAGTCTAACCTGATTTTCAAGGTTGTGTATTTATGGTTAGGATTTACTCATTGAGGTAAAGTGTTCTCTGTTACCATTTTGGAGTTACTGATTATTTTACTGCTGGCATTTCCTGATATTTAATCCTTTCAACATCTTATTCTTCCTATTCCAACAGTGACTGTATGTCAATTAGTTCCACTTTCAGAACTGAAATGGAACTTTCCTTGGATGTTTCTCTGAAAAACAGAATTTAAAAGGTCTCTTAGAAAACTCACACACTGTATTGGGTTTGGTGGGAAGGAGCAACTGTAGTTTGGATAAAGGAAAGGAGACAGCAAGGGCTCCATCTAGGTGTACAGTTTCCGTTTGTCCACCAGAGGGAGCTATGTTACTGATGGGAATAGAGGCTGGAAAGACTGCCCTAAATGCTACCTTTAAATTTTTTAATTAATTTAGGATTTTTTTTTTTTTGAGACAGGGTCTCACTATGTAGCCCTGGTTGGCTTGGGGCTAGCTATTTAGACCAGGCTGGCCTCCACCTACCTCATAGAGATCCATCTGCCTTTGCCTACCAAGTTCTGGGTTTAAGGACATGGGCTACCACACCTGGCTCGAATTTAGGATTTTTGAGGCAAGGGCCTGGTTCTGAATTTCAGACTGGCATCTAACTCACAACAATCCTCCTGTCTAGGTATTATTACTATTTATTTTATTTTGTTTATTTGAGGCAGGGTCCCAAATAAATAAACTTGAATTCCTGATCCTCTTTCCTCTTCTTCTCCTTCTCCTCCTCCTCCTCCTCCTCCTCCTCCTCCTCCTCCTCCTCCTCCTCCTCTTCTTCCTCCTCCTCCTCCTTCTTCTGGTTTTTCGAGACAGAGTTTCTCGAAACTCTGGTTTTGATGCCTGTCCTGGAACTCACTCTGTAGACCAGACTTGTTTCAAATTTGCAGAGATCCGCCTGCCTCTGCTTCCTGAGTGCTGGGATTAAAGGCGTGCGCCACTACCGCCTGGCTTGCCTCTATCTTCTAAGTGTTAAGATTATAAGCATGTGGCCAGCATGTCATTATTTTTTAAAAGTAGAGTGCTCTAATGTTACAAGTCAAGTGTGAATATGGAAAATTATTACTTGGCAAAAGTTTGTTTTACACAATGACCTCTGAGTTACTTGGTAAAAGTTTGTTTTACACATTGACCTCTGAGTTGGATCATTTATATTTATATTTATTTAGTGAATGAGTGTGCTGTGTGGAAAGAGTATGTGTGGTGTATATATGTGGTAACATTCAAGTACACAGGTGAGTATCTACACCCACATAGCTCATGTGGAGTCCAGGGTGTTGGGGTGTAAATGGAATATTCCTGTCCCAACCACCTGTTCCCAAAAACCTGGCAGCCGATTCCCAAATTACCATACAGAGGCTTATATTAATTACAAATACTCAGCCGATAGCTCAGGCTTGTTACTAACTAGTTCTTACAACTTAAATTAACCCATTTTCATTAATCTATGTCTTGCCATGTGGCTCATGGCTTTACCTGTCCTCTAGCATGTCTTGCTTCCTGGGAAGGCTCGCTGGTGTCTCTCCTGACTCCCCCTCCTTCCCATCATTCTCAGTTTGGCTTTCCTGCCTAACTTCCTGCCCAGCTACCAGCCTGTCTGCTTTTTATTATCCAGTGAGAATAATACATATTCATAGCGTAGAAAAGGATTGTTCCACAGCATTGGGGATTATCCTCTGTTTTTCTACACCTTATTGCCTAGAGACAGGTTCTCTCACAGAACCAGAAGTACATTTTCCCAGTGCTGGGGTTACAGGACTATCAGCTGTGCCTGGCTTTTTATGTCGGCGCTGGGGACTTGAACTCACATCCTCATGTTTGCAGAGGAAGTACTCTTACCCACTGAGCCATTTTTCAGGACCAGTTATTTTGAAAATATACAAATTATGTTGTATTTGTACCTGGGATTGTTTGGACTTAACATGTAGTTACAAATGCTTTATTAGAGTGCTGGAGAGATGATGTCTCAGCGGTGGAGAGCACTTGCTATTCAACTTTGAAGACCTGAGTTCAGATCCCTGCACCTATTTTTCAAGCTGGGGTCCAGCAGACACCTATAGCTCCAGGGCCCAGGGAACTGATGCCCTCTTCTGGCCTTGGTGTGTACTTCTCCAGAGCTGGGGACTGAACCCAGGGCCTTGCTCTTGCTAGGCAAGCGCTCTACCACTGAGCTAAATCCCCAACCCCCCCCCCCCCAAAACAAAAACTTTTCAAGTTATAGGAAGATGGATGTTTTGTGGTATAATTTTTGACTGATGTAGTTAAACTAATTAAGATATTAATAATTACTATTACTTTTAGTAACCACATAGCTGGAAGATACATTGTGGGGAATTCACCAGAGAAGACCACAAGGACATGGGTTTAAGCCAATAGAAAGTCTTTATTAGTCGGCTAGCTGTTGACTACATGGGTGTTCGGGACCCCACAATAGCACTGAGACTTTCTCGGGATGAGCTTTGGAGCACAAAAACCGTGTTCTGGGTTGACATGCTTCAGTTAAGAGGAACAGTTAGCCAGAAGCAGAACTGCATATGCCACAAAGCAGGGGTAGTACGTTTAGAGACTTTCCCAGGACTGTGGGTTTTGATTGATGGATTAGGTCTTTGTTTTAGTTTTGTCAGATGGTGCTGTCTATGTGCTGTGTTTTACAGCCTGAATGGAACTTCCATCCTGGAGTCACTTGTGCTAAGGTCTGGGGCCCTGTTGCAATTTGTCTCTATTTAGGTAGGTATGCACTTTAATTATCTAAAGAATTAAACTTTTACTGTTTTCTGTAAAAGTCTCCAAAGGAAGTGTTATACTCTTACCTTCACAAGAAAAAAGAAGAACAGCAAATATAACAGTTATTTATAAGAAAGTAGTATTCAATATTCTTCCTGTTTTCTGAAACCTCCTATCATTGAGATCTATCTATCTATCTATCTATCTATCTATCTATCTATCTATCTATCTATCTATCTATCTTTGAGACAGGGTCTCTTTTGCCCTTGGTAAAATTCCCTACATAAAGAAAGCTTTGAATTTTTGACCCATCTGCCCCCACTTCCCAAGTGCTGGGGTTACAGGCAAATATTTGTGACCATACCTGGTTTATACAGTACAGGACTTTGTGCATAACAATAATAATAATAAAAGAAGAATGAAAGAAGAGAGAGACAGAGAGGGAGAGAGGAAGAGATGGAGGAAGGGAGGGAGGGAAGGAGGGAGGAAGAGAGAGAGAGAGAGAGAGAGAGAGAGAGAGAGAGAGAATGCAAAAAGAACATGGCCAAAATCTGGGATATGGAGTCAGAAGGATCAATATTCCACATTCATCTTTGATCAACCTGAGTAAATGAGACTCCATCTCAGACAAAGCAAACCAGAATATAGTTCCACAAGGTGTACCATTATTGATCCCTGAAAATTTTATCTCATCTTTAAAGTCCTTACTAGAAACCAGTGTGTTGGTAAAATATAAAGCGGGATAGTGAAATACAAAGTGGGATAGTGAAACACAAAGCTGAGTAGCTGTCATTTACTAGGAACAGAGTACTAAAATAGTTCAGGAGGACTGCAAAGAGAGTGAAGCTGATGGTTTAGTAATCTTTCCTGATTCATCTGTTTGTTTATACTTAAGACCGGCTCCTTTGGTAGCTTAGGCTGGACTCAGACTCTTCGATACTCTAAGATTATATATAGGTGAGTCTCATCATGTCCAGCACCTACCTTATTTTGATATCCATTTCTCTTCTATTCTTTAGACAGAGTTCTATTTAGGAACTTTGGGCAATTTTAATGATCAACAAGAAGAGGTTCCATGTTGACAAATTACCAAGAAAATCTCATTACTTTTAAAAACGTTTTTTGAGCCTAGTGGTGGTGGGGCACGTCTTTGATCCCAGCACTCGGAGGCAGAGGCAGGCAGATCTCTGTGAGTTCGAGGCCAGCCTGGTCTACAGAGTGAGTTCCAGGACAGCCAGGACTGTTACACTGAGAAACCCTGTCTTGAAAAACAAAAAGGTTTTGTTTTGTTGAGACAGTGTCATGTAGTCCAGACTGGTTTGGGGCTGCCTGGGAAGCAAAGAATGACCTTGAACTCCTTATACTCTGCCCGAACCTCCCAAGAGCTGAGAATACATCAGCACCATTCCTTCCTCTTTCCCTCTCTCCCTCCCTTTCATTTTTTCTTTTCCCCCCTCTTTGTTTTGTTGGAGGGGAGTGGATTTGAGAAGTCTCACTCTGTAGCCCAGGCTGACCTTGAACTCACTATATAGTCCAGGCTGCCGCAGAACTCCTGGCAATCATGTCAGCATTCCTGGTGCTTGTATTACAGGTGTGAGCCGTTTAGACCAGCTTATTTCTTCAACATATGATTCCTAGTTTATTCCAGTAGAAAATGAGGAATGGGCAAGTGTTCAGATGTTAGCATGTAACACAGCTTCCTTTTATAACGATCTAATCATTTTCACATTTTTGATGAAAAACTTCGACCACTCAGAAATCTTTATGGATCTGGAACAAATGTCATATTGAAAATACTTTATGTCAAACTGTGATATTGTATGCGTATATGCATGCTTTTCCCAGTGCACATTCACAACTAATACATGCTAATGAAACTAAATGTAAAACCAGATGAATTCTAGTTCTTCTGATACTTCACGTTTAGTCCTCCCTTTTAGAAAATAATGTTAATTACTGCTGCTTTTTCGTTTTTCAAGTGTTAAGGGATAATTAAGGGAGCTAAGTTTAGTTAGTGGTCACAACAATAAACTACGATTCCCAAAATGCCTACAGAAAGAGGTTGCCCTTGGTCGGGGAAGACAGTTAGTTGCAGCTTCAGGGCAAAGGTGGCTGGGTTAGGTCCAGCAGCGGAGAAGGGTGCAGCTTGTCCTTGACTGATTTCTAATGCATCCAGGGATATGTAGTTCCCAGAGGGCCACAGCGTGCCCTTAGGCCAGGTTTCTTACTACAAGTCCCGTGATGACAGGGGGCTTGAGCAGCGCCTGCGTGCTGAAGCTAAAGGAGCGTGTGGGCGGTGCCAGTCGCTGGAGGAGTAAAGATGGCGGCGCGGGGGCCTCCGCCTTCATTTCCCGGCTGAACCCCTCCGAGGGAGGCGGCGGCGGCCACACCAGGCTACCAGATATTCTGGTGGTGGTGGTTTGGGCAGCAGCTGCGGGGGCTCGAGCCATGGCGGAGCTGGAGCACCTGGGAGGGAAGCGGGCAGAGTCGGCGCGAGCGCGGCGGGCTGAGCAGCTGCGGCGCTGGCGGGGCTCGCTGACAGAACAGGAGTCCGCGGAGCGACAAGGCACGGGGCGGCAGACCAGACGCGGGAGCCCCCGGGTCCGCTTCGAGGATGGTGCGGTCTTTCTGGCGGCCTGCTCCAGCGGGGACACGGACGAGGTGAAAAAGCTTCTGGCGAGAGGTGCGGACATCAACACGGTCAACGTGGACGGTTTGACAGCCCTGCACCAGGTAGGACTCCCCTTTCGGGCGGGTGGGTCTCTTGCCTGCGAGCCCGCGACCCTTCGAGCTGCCCCACCAAAAGTACTGTTAGTGTCACCGTAGAGAACCTCGCGCAAAGACCTGGCCACATCAGTCAACTCACGTCCGTTCTTGGCCACCTCCTTCCACTCAGCAAATCTTTTTCAGATCCCAGGGTTAGGGGTCTTCACCTGAAGGACTGGTGTCACCGGGGGGGGGGGGGGGAACTGGTCAGTGTTTGTATTTCCCTCCACCTACTTGGGTTGTCATGGTGACGGATGATTTGGTCCTTGGTCTTGTCTCTATAGATTAGTCACCTTTACTTCTCTGTCTGCTGCCTGTACGGTTCTGTCACTTAGTGTCATTATCGTGATACCCTTTCAGAAATTCAGCTTTCTGTTTGTGTGGCCCAGTTATCAAAATGTCTTAGGTCCGTTAAAGAACAGTCCCAGTAGTGGAGTAAGGCTGCTCTTCTGAAAGGAGACTTGTTTGGCTGGTGTGTGGTTTGTGCCTTTCCCCAGGCCACCCTTAGAACACCCTTGACCTCATTGTTGTGGGTGTCTTATTTTCTTTGCGGGAGTGCTACCTCTGTCAGGGACAGAATTATTTCTGTCTGGTACTTACGGAACAGACTTTCAATTTGATTTCTGAAGCCCTCTGTAGAAATGATTATCTTTAAAAAAACAGAAAGAAACGACTGTATATATGGATTGCATGTAATCTGAGAGTTTGGTAACACCGCCTTGATTTCTCTCATTTATGCAGCAATATGCTCTGTGTATTGACTGTCATAACTCCACCCTCTCTCCCCAGTTGAACTTCATCAGTTATTTTGGTGAGCTGAGAGCTGGGCACCCACTCTTCCTTTCTTCTTCCTTTCTTCCTCTTTCCCCCTGCCTTTGAACACAGAATCTCATGTAGTTCAGATCGATTTAGCTGCAGATGGCCTTAAACTTGTGATCCTTCTGTCTCTCTGTCCCCAGTGCTGGGGCTGCCCAGGTTTTGCAGAGCTGAGGATGAAGCCCAGGGCTTTGAGCATGCTAAGCAAGAACTCCACCAACAGAGCTACCTCCCAGCTCTCTTTCTTCTTCTTCCTTTTCTTTCTGTACAAAGTGAATGTGTTCAGATAAGAATCCACTTGAAAATAATAATTCAAGCTTACGTTAAGCCCCCTCCTTGAATATATTTAGCTAATAGCTTAAAGTTGTTCTTATTGCTCTTTCAGGTAGACAAAACTCTCCTCTCAGACTGTTTTTCTCAGTGCCCCACCTGAAGTGTTTATATATAGCAACCAGTATTTATATAGTACTTTGTTGTTTAAGAATGATTTCACGTGCCTTCCCTCATGGAAGTCTTGGTAGTGTTCTCCTGCAATGGGTATAGTTGGTAATAAGGTGACTCCCACTTCACAGAGGAGGAAACAGAGACCAAGAGGAGTTATGTGTGTGAAAAGCTAGGAAGGAGAGCTGTTGCCTGTGAAGTGTGTGTGTGTGTGTGTGTGTGTGTGTGTGTGTGTGTGTGTAGAAAGGAGAGCAGTTGCCTGTGAAGTGTGTGTGTGTGTGTGTGTGTGTGTGTGT